TTCCTCCAAATTGTCCTGGAGTTTGGATCGTTTGTTGTTATTAGATTAAATACGACTCAGTCAATGCCCCTAATATTGAAATATGTCCATTCAGATTTAGAGAGCCAAATGAGCATCATTTTCGATTCATTTCCTTTTATAACAGTTATTTTAGACCCTCCAAATCATTCTGGAGATCAGATCAAATGATCTACTGAATCCCCGGCACCGGTGCCGTAATGTGTTGTTTTCTAAGATCACACTTGATTTTTATCAACAACCAAGCAATTGCAGATGATATTACAAGCTGTGATATCTTAGCTACGAATATCAAGCTAACACAACTCACCAGCTACAATTCTAACCAAACCGTGGTGAGTTTGAGTTTCATGATTTTTGCATCCGAACGCGACCCGAAACTACCGTCATTGCCGGCAGAAGTAGCTTCGTTTCTACCATCGGTGAAGAGTAAAGAGAGATAGCAAACTAACTTTTCTAAGAAAACGATATGCAACGGAATCATTTTTGTGTCTCAGCTTCATTTTTAGATGTTGAGAATAGTCGCCTGTAAAATCAAAATCAAACATGGCATTTTGTTTCAATATCACGTGAGGGCGTATGAGAGCGGCAAAATATAATTTGATTGATGATTTTGCAAACATTGACTAGGTTAACGTGTAGGAAATACCAGCACATGTTCCTACTTAATTGGCATCTAAAAAAGAAATTTGATTGTGTTATTATACCAGAGTTCCATATTAGGAACATAGTGAAATTAGTTCACTCGTTAAACTACTCATTCAGAAGAGGAATGAAATATCGGTTGCATTTAAATTGAAAAAATGTAGATATTTTGGAAAATACAGGGGGTGTTCAATCTGCCTTAATTCCCCTATAGATGGTGAAAAGGGTTGTTAATCATGTTAGAAGCAGAAGGATGAGAACCGTATGATAGCATCAAAAACATGACCGCCAGTTAGGCAACTGTTAAAAACACATCTCCCATAGCAGCATATTATTCTTCAACGTACGTAAAATGTATCCCCCTCAAATCCCCCTATGGATACACCGTCGTTCTCCAGACATGATGCTGTGACACACACACACATCTACCGCATTTCATCGCTATGTAACTACGCTGTGTTGGTGTATTTTGTCACGCGGCTCAACCCGTGTGTACGCAAGCTCTTTCGCAACGTATCTCTAGATGTTTTGTGTCGCACGACGGTCTGTAGCCGGCTCATGATACGTCTGACCAATCCTCGGCCAATCCACCTCCTTTCCCATAATCCAAAGCCGTCAACTGTCTCTCCTGCCGTATTATTCGTGTCCACGTCGCATCGAACACGCCGAAGGACTATATACACTTTCCACTCTCCCGATTCCTGTTACCGGCCATCACAAGCGTCGCACACGGTCCGTCTCACGGGACGATGTCGCGTGCAAAGGGCTCACAATTTTTTTCCTCTCGTCTCCTCTCACACTCTGAAAAGCTACTCGAGTCAAGATTAAACACAAACAAGCCACACAGCCACAGCAAGCAGCATTCCGCGTATGAATAACAAGACAAACAGGAAGAACAACATCTAGATTCCGAATGGTGTAAATCCAGCAAGGAGTCACTTGCCACCGCTTCTGGCACACGAGTATGCGGATGTTTTCACGCGAAATCCTTGCAATGTCGTTCCACTTTCGAAATCCGACACTCCCAAATCGCTCGTCTTCCTTCTCGCACGTTTGTTACCAAGTTTTCACCAGTTTCTTCGCAGCCGTCTCATCAAAAATGCACTTCAGACTGTCGTCTGCTAAACATTTTCTTCGGGATCCACACCCTACCTGCTGTAACCAGTGTTTCTACTTTCCCCGCCCGTACAACACAATCCGTGGCTACCAGGCTCTAGAGGATCCAATTGCAGACCGATAACCACGGCACACACCGCGCACAAGAATGCCTTTAGATATGGAGAACAACTGAGAGCTGAGCTGCGAGGCTTTCCACAAACCGCACACAACACTCCCTAACTTCTATTCTTTCGGTTTGCACACCCACCAATTTCGAACACCGCTGCCGTAAACTTTGAGGGAGACTCCCGGACGACGAAGCAAACCGACGACCGACGACACCGGGACTGGACAATGAAATACTGCACAAATTTAGCGAATCGAAATTCGGGAAAATCCACCGCGAGCAAATTTGGCAATCACGTACGCGGCGGCGTTGGTTCGGTTTTTCCGGGAAAAACTTACGATTGATTTTGCAGCGACGAACGAACGAGTTGCGGATTCTAACTGAACACAGGCAAGCAGCGGTCCGCGAAGCGATGAAACGAAAAACGGCAAGTACCGGGCGTTGCCAACCGTAGCGCGTGAATGAAACTGTCAATGGATAGTTCCAGTGCTGAACGCCGTTCCAGCCAGTGGCGCTGCGGCTCGCTGGAGAAATTCAGCGCGTCTTTCAACACGGGCGAATGTTGGTGTTTGAACTTGTGTTTGAAGCAATAAAATTTAATGTTTCGCTTTTGAGTGTAAAAGGGAAAATACTGCTACTTTTTGCATATTGGGAGATTGTCGTAAAAGCTCGACGCAGATGTTGCCACTGTATGATGATGATAATGTTGACAGACTGCATATATAATTCGTGATAATTAGCATTAAATCATTATTTTCATCAAGCCTACGTAAAATCCTTCCAATATAACATTTGAATTGAAGAAGAAAATGTTTTCACGATCAGACTGATGTGCATATTTGACTTTTCCAGATGAACTTTCATAAGATATTTTCATTTCATTCCACAGCTCCATCAATGCTGTATCGTACATATGATCACAGAGAACAGACGTTGAAGCTCGGTCAGAAACTTGTGTAAAATAAGTGGGAACGTCGCCGTTACGTGGTGTTAGCATCTCCTGATTTTCTCTCTAAATTTTCCATTTTCGACCAATTTGGCGCTAGTATCGATAAATTTTCTGTTGAAAATTGCCACTTGGCGCTACTAGCACTTAGTGTCTAGTGTAATTTGTGCAACGCCAGCGCCATCATGTTGTCAAAGAGGATTCTTAAGTGGGGAAGTCGCCGTTAATGGCACAGAAGTCAAATAGGAATCCTTACACAAGTTTTTAGAGAAATTTTGTTCCAGCCTCCATGTCTGTTCTCTGTGATATGATGTAAATTAAACAAAAGTAAATTGCTCAATTACTCAAAATAAAGATGATTTGTCATCTTGTTATCACTTTATAAACCACCGAGCACCATTTTATAGTATGGTGCGTGTTGAGCAAATCAAGTTCCGTTGCGTTTTCCGTCGAAAATTGTAAGTATCAATATGTTTACCTAAAAAAGGCCAAAATGAACATTTATTGAATATTGCCGTCCTATACAACCATTTCTCCATTATCACCAGCATGATACAATCTTTCCTAAGTAAGTTCACTTAATTTCCACTTTCATCCTAGTGGAAATCACAAATATTCACCATTTTCCGAAAAATGCAGCTGCGCAGGAGGTAACCTCTACCTGTGGGCACAGAGAACAGACATGGAGGCTCGAACAAAATTTCTCTAAAAACTTGTGTAAAGATTCCTATTCGACTTAAGCGCCACTAACGGCGACTTCCCCACTTAAAAACGCTCTTTGACAACATGATGGCGCTGGCGTTGCACAAATTACACTAGACACTAAGTGCTAGTAGCGCCAAGTGGCAATTTTCAACAGAAAATTTATCGATACTAGCGCCAAATTGGTCGAAAGTGGAAAATTTAGAGAGAAAATCAGGAGATGCTAACACCACGTAACGGCGACGTTCCCTCTTATTTTACACAAGTTTCTGACCGAGCTTCAACGTCTGTTCTCTGTGCTGTAACATAGTGTCTAGTGTAAGTTGTGCAACACAAGCGCCATCATGTTTTTTTTAAAGAGGGTTTTTAAGTGGGGAACTCGGCGTTGGTGGCGTTTAAGTCGAATAGCAATCTTTACACAAGTTTTTACAGAAATTTAGTTCGAGCCTTAACCACAGAGAACAGACGTCCAACTTCCACCTGAAACTTGCGTAAAGATAAGTGGGAACGTCCACGTTAAGTGGCGCTAGCATCTCCTGATTTCCTCTGTAATTTTTCCACTTTCGACCAATTTGGCGCTAGTATCGATAAATTTTCTGTTGAAAATTACCACTTGGCACTACCAGCACTTATGGCGGTAAGCTCCAACTCGGATTAACTTTTAATACCGTCCCTGTTTGTATGATCTGAAAAATGTTTGCTCAGAATTATGTTGATTAACTCTGATGTCGACATCAAACCAGCCGGACATTCTTGATCGGGATTTAATCCGAGGATAATACCGGTTGGAGCTTACCACCATTAGTGTCTAGTGTAAATTGTGCAACGCCATCGCCATCATGTTTTTAAATAGGGTTTTTAAGTGGGGAAGTCGCCGTTAGTGGCGCTTTAGTCGAATAAGAATCTGTACACTAGTTTTTAGAGAAATTTTGTTCGAGCCTCAACGCCTGTGCTCTGTGCTATCGACTCATCAACTCATGGATCGGGGACCAACGGCTTTACTCCCCGTGATCAGACATTTTATACCTCAGAAAATCCCGACTCTAGGTTCTATAACTTTGTCCAACATTGTGGCGGTCCAAGGCTGATAATCACAAGTGTGCTGGAGCTCACGGTCCGCTAGTGTCGGTGAGTTATTTACCGTTAATGTTCATGAAAAGTTCACTATTTTGCCATAAACAGTGCCGAAAAAAAAATTCGGGTTGCTTCCTCTCACTTGCTATAAAAAAAATAGTTTCGGAATTTTGGAATCATTAAATGCTATAATGATATTTTGTACTTTTAAGTTAAAAGAAGAGGTTGTAAAGTATGTGTTTGACACATGAAACCTGTCAATTTCGCTTTCAGAGTGCCACAATCCCCTCACCACCGGAACCAGACTACGTTATTGACCAGTGACGAAAGCGTAACGCTACTTAGGATGGTGATCATAGACTACACAGTCCAGTAAAAACCCACCTAATCTACCTTATAAAAATGTGTATCTCCATTAATTAAATAATACAACATCCGACTACCGACACTGTATTCTGGTTTTTGTTTGCCATTGTTTTTTGTTTCTTAATTTCTTGTTGAGTTTGAAGCAGCCTACGGCTAGAATAGAGTTCCTGAAGCAGATTTCACGTTCCGTTGTGTGTTTTCTTGATTAGGGTTGGCTGGTGTGATAGGACTTTGAAAGTAGATCGTAATGAAAGCAGCAATTTTCCCCCTAAACCATCTTAAGGTGGCACTCGTCTTCTCCTTCGCGGTCATCCACTCCTGCCGCCTTGCGAGTGCTGCCAGCTTTCTTCGGTTTTCGTCTGGCTTTCTGCTGGTGCTTCTCATTACTGGCCGTTTCCTTTGCCAGAGGACACTCCGATTGGTATGAATCAAAGTTGAACCCTTCTAAGCCGCTGCTGTTGATCGGAATGTAGGACGAGTCGGAGGCAATCTTAGTGAGTAACGACGTATCAAAGTTTGTGTTTGGTCAGAATTTCAGATCCTAAAACAGGCAGAATGAGTTTCAATTCCCGATTTTCGAAACATTGCCAGCTAACAATTTTACCTTGATAGCTTGTGGAAGATCAGGTAATTTTATATCCTTAATCTGTTGCTGTAGATTCATGCTCTTCACGGCGCTGACGGCCCTTGCTGGAGCCGCCGACAGGCCAGCTTCCTGTTTCTGTAGTTTGTTCTGATCTTCGATCCGGGCCAAGATGTCAGCCATATTTGTCTGCAGCACCATGCCTCCCATCACCAACTCGGATAGGATGTGATGGACGGCATCGGCGTGGAAAATCAGATCCAGTTCGCAAACATTTTCGAAGCATTTGTCCAACGTTTCGACAAACACCTGAATCAAATCCAGAATGCCAAGTTCACTCTCGGATGAATCTACACAGAAGACAAAGTACAGTGTGGCATAGTGCCGGTAGATAAGCTTGTAATCTGAACCACCGATTAGGCTAAAACAAACAAAAACCATGATAAGTCAACTGGAAGCTTTTGCTGAGACATGACACTTACCTTCCACCCTCGAGAAAATTGCACACGTTGTCGTCCCGTTTGGACACCAGCTGGAACGTTTCCTTGATAATCTGTTGCTGCATATCTTCGTTCTAAAATGCAAACAAAATCATCGTTGATTCTAAGCTGCAGAAAAAGCTAAAATATGCTAGCGTAATCAAAATATTGATTTCTCTTCCATTGATCTGTGAGTTTGCAGTTGACAGAAAATTACTCACGAAATATTGGTAAAACTTGGACAGCCGCGGTTTCCCATGATTGTTGAACACCAGAATCGCTTTGATCATTGTTTCCGGCGGCTACAGGGCCGAGTGAAATCCGTTTAAAAACTGGAAAAGCCTAATGAAAAACGTATGTTTTCCGGAGGATAAACAACAGTGGTTCACTTTTCTAACAACTGGGCTGGATTTTTTGCTCGAATAAAAGAAAATCGGCACGTCAGAGACGTCAACCTGATGCAACATGCAACCGATGTAGCGCACAAACACAAACATACACCGATGCACTTTAATGTCAACCTGCGAGCATCAGAAAATGTAAACAAGGTGGGGCATTTCCGATATAGTCCGCTCCTATTTAGTTCGACTGGTTATATACACACTACTTGAAAACAACCCAAAAATGGATAGAGTCTACCCAGTTAGATGAAAACCGTCAAAATTGATGCTCCAAAGAGCGATGCCAACCCCGAAACATTCAATTAAGGAAAACTGTTCTAACACTTGACTTACTTACTTAAGGGTCCTGTGTGTCAGCTATACAGTGGGGGCGACGTTTATCCCAACGCCGTCACTGCACCGCATCTCTGGTAACTGGAGAGGAACAGAGCGAAAGCAGAACATCATTCTCATACCAATCAGTCTGTAACCGAAACGAATGAATAAAGACGTGTCTAATCGTATACGGTCCCGCGTGTGAAAGTTTTTCTTGTTATATCACGAAACGCATTGTCCGGATTCCGCCCGGTATTCCGTTGCCTGTTGGGTGCCTGAAGTGTCCGCCTGTCCACTCTGTTGTCCATCAGGTTATGGGCCCAGAGATAGTGAAAAAGGAAAAGTATTTTGTGGGACGAAAAGTGCTTTGCGGAAGACATTAGTGCACGAAAAGTTTCGGCGTGGTTTCGGTGGCTCGGTACAGTTCTTTCGGTGGCAGCATTTTGTTCAAGCTGCGGGGCGCACGACTGTAGTAGTGTGCGTGTGCAATTTGGTGCTGAGCTGACTCTGACTCTGGTGGTGCGCGTTTTTCCTTTGGCGTAGTCGTTGGTGTGTTCCGAAGGCGGGAAGATTTTTTGTTTTCCTAGCGTAACAGGTGGAAAGGGCCTGACGTTTTTCATTCTCGTCGCGTGTGTCGGTCGGAGAAGAAAATGGGTGATAAATTCCTGTTCGCTCGCCTGAACAATCAAAATTTCCCTGTGTGGAAGATGCGCATGGAAATGTACTTGAAGCGCGAAGAACTCTGGAGTGTTATTAAAGACGAAAAGCCAGAGCCGGTCACACCTGAGTGGACAACCAGTGATGAAAAAGCTATGGCGATGATTGTCCTAGCCGTTGAGGACAGCCAGCTAAATTTATTGCGTGGTGTTGATTCGGCAGTGGGCGCGTGGAACAAGTTAAAAGAATTCCACGAAAAGACGTCGATGACGTCACGTGTGTCCTTGCTTCGTCGTATCTGCAGTTTAAATATGAACGAAGGGGACAATATTGAGAAGCACCTGTATGAACTTGAAGAGCTGTTCGATAAGCTGGCGTGCGCCGGCCAGGAGATGGAGATGCCGCTTAAAATCGCCATGATCTACCGTAGCCTACCGGAGTCCTATGGCAGTTTGGTCACCGCCCTCGAAGGGAGACCGGACGCCGACCAGACTATGGAGCTGGTTAAGCAAAAACTGATCGACGAGCATCAGCGTCGATGCGAACGGTCGGGGAGCTCCGGTGAATCGGCGATGAAGATGCACAGCAAGAAGAAAAATGAGAAAGTGTGCTATCGGTGCGGTAAATCGGGACATTTTCAGCGAAATTGTCCACAGCAGCCAAAAGGTGGCCCGGGCGGTAGTGATGTGAAGCGTGATTCGAAAGCTAAGTCCGGTGGTGCGAGGGCCAAACAGGCTGAAGAAAGTGAGTTGGCGATATGTTTTGTGGCTGGAACCAAGTGCAGTGGACCTTGGATCGTTGATAGTGGGTGTTCCAGCCACATGACGAACGATCGGTCATTCTTCAATGAACTGGACACGAGTGTGCGAGTGAAAGTGTTCTTGGCCGACGGGTCAGAGACGATGTCCGGTGGACTCGGAAATGGCACAGTAAAGTGTGTGAATGGAGACAACCGTTTGGTGGATATTCCGTTCAAAGACGTCCTATACGTGCCCTCATTGGACAGTGGACTCATATCGGTGAGAAAACTCGTGAAAAATGGACTGAAAGTGGAATTCTGTGGTTCGCGGTGTGAAATTTTGTCCGCGGGAGGCAAAGTGGTGGCTGTGGCGGAACCCCGCGGCAGTCTGTTCGCGTTGAAGATTGCAGAGGAAGCTCGGCTGGGCAAGGAGGCTCGGCACCTGCAGAATTGCCAGCATACCTGGCACCGTCGGCTAGGTCATCGGGATCCAGCGGCGTTGGATGAGATCCGGAGGAAGGAGCTATCTGAAAACTTCAAGGTTCAGGATTGCGGGATCCGGCAGGTTTGTCAACCTTGCCTAGAAGGTAAATCATGTAGAATTCCATTTCCCAAAATCGCGGTTAATCGTACCCAACGTGTTCTCGACGTCATTCACACTGATGTGTGTGGACCGATGGTAAACGTCACGCCCGGGGGTGCCCGCTATTTAATGACAATCATTGATGATTTTAGTAGATACACTGTCGTGTGTCTGCTGAAGCGGAAGAGCGATGTAACTGATTGCATTAAGAGATTTGTCGCGCACGTCAAGAACATGTTTGGTCGGGCTCCATGTGTTATTAGATCAGATGGCGGGGGTGAGTATACCGGACACGAGCTGAAACGGTATTATGAGCTAGAGGGCATTCAAGCGCAGTACACCGCGGCCTACTCTCCCCAGCAGAATGGAGTGGCGGAGCGTAAGAATCGCTCCCTACAAGAAATGGCCACCTGTATGCTTCTTGATGCAGATCTTGACAAAAAGTACTGGGGGGAGGCGGTGGCCACTGCTGCCTACTTGCAGAATAGGTTGCCATCCCGCGCTGTCGATACGACGCCTTATGAAAGGTGGTTCGGCAGGAAACCATCACTGTCGCACCTGAAAGTGTTCGGTTGCCCTGCATTTGTTCACATCCCAGAGGTTAAACGGTCGAAGTTAGATAGCAAGGCTAAGAAGTTACTGTTCGTGGGTTACTGCAGTGACAGGAAGGCCTATAGATTCCTCGATACGGATACAAACGGAATCACCATTAGTCGCGATGCTCGTTTTGTGGAGCTTCAGGAGGAGAAACCAGTGTCGGATGGTTTGCCTCCAACCGAAGAGGATCTTGTAGAGGTGGAGGCCTCGAGCAGCCAATCGCAGAAGCAAGTTGAAGCACTAAATCCAGAATCGCCAAGGGATCCGGAAGATGATGATGAGGAATACTTCTCCGGGGATGATGAACAGGCACAGCCCGACCAAACGGAAGCGACCCAACAAAGGCAGAAGCGGAGCACCCGGGGTGTCTTGCCAAAGCGTTTGGAAGACTACGTCGTCTGCGTTGCGATGCAGGCGCAGGAGGAGCCAGCGACCTACGAAGAAGCAGTGTCGGGCGCCGAGCAAGGATTATGGAAGGAAGCTATGGCGGAAGAATACCGGTCGCTGATGGAAAACCAAACATGGAAGCTTGTCGAACTGCCAGCCGGTCGTACTCCAATCAGCTGCAAGTGGGTGTATCGGAAGAAGCATGACAACATCGGCAACATCTCTCGATTCAAGGCTCGACTAGTAGCGAGAGGATTCTCGCAAAAATTCGGAGTGGATTATGATGCCGTTTTCGCTCCGGTGGCAACTCAGACAACTTTGAGGACTCTCCTGGCGGTCGCCGGGCATCGGAAGATGTCCGTTCATCACCTCGACGTAAAGAGCGCTTATCTTCACGGAACGCTCAAGGAAGAGGTGTATATGATGCAGCCGAAGGGATTCGTCGTTCCTGGGAAGGAGAAATTCGTGTGTCGACTGCAGCGAAGCCTTTACGGCCTGAAACAGGCCGCACGTGTGTGGAATGAGACAATCAGTGCGATGTTGAGAGAGCTCGGTTTCACACAGTCGGTGTCAGATCCATGCCTTTACGTCAAGGAGTTGTCCAATGGCAACGTCATCTACCTATTGATATATGTTGACGACATGATCGTGGCGAGTACGGTTCAGGAGGAGATTAGGATTATCGAGGACCAGTTGAAGAGGAAGATCTCATTGACGTTGTTAGGTGAAGTTAATCAGTTTCTGGGCGTTCGAGTGACCCGGGACCAAGATGGATATTTCAGCCTGGACCAGAACGTATTCATCCGTGCACTCGCTCAACGATTCGGCCTACAAGACGCGAGAGGTTCGAGCATCCCGCTTGACCCAGGATACTACCGTAGCCGGGTAAACAGCCGGCCTCTAGATACGAACGAGCGCTACCACAGTCTGGTAGGCGCACTACTCTATATCGCAGTGAACAGCAGACCGGATATAGCCGCAAGCGTATCCATCTTGAGCAGGCAGATCAGCAGCCCAACGGAGACCGACTGGGTCGAACTGAAGCGCGTCGTCCGATACTTGCTGAAAACGGCTGACTGCAAGTTGAAGCTGTCTGCTACGAATGGTGAGCAGCTAGTTCTCGTCGGATACTGCGACGCGGATTGGAGCGGGGACCCTTCTGACCGGAAGTCAAATTCCGGCTACCTGTTCCAGCTGGGAAAAGCTACGATCTGCTGGGCGAGTCGGAAACAGACGAGCGTCTCTTTGTCCAGCATGGAAGCCGAATATATGGCCCTGTCTGAAGCGTGCCGTGAGTTAGTTTGGCTGAGGCAACTGTTGGAGGAGATGGGAGAACACCAAGCAGAGCCGACTACAGTTATGGAGGATAATCGTAGCTGCATCGTTTTCGTGGAGACCGACCGCAAGTCTAGAAGATCCAAGCACATCGATACCCGTGTACACTACACCAAGGACTTGGTCGATAAAGGTGTGGTCACTCTCCGATATTGTCCGACGGAGGAGATGGTCGCGGACATTCTAACCAAACCGCTAGGTGCAATGAAGCAGCAACGATTCGTCGAAGCAATGGGGTTGGTCAGTGCCCATGACCGGGTGGCATCGGCTCCGTGACGTCGAGGAGGAGTGTCAGCTATACAGTGGGGGCGACGTTTATCCCAACGCCGTCACTGCACCGCATCTCTGGTAACTGGAGAGGAACAGAGCGAAAG